TATTTTCCAAAACTGAGTATTACATCAGCTAGTCTCTACCAGGCTTTCTGCAATCAATAGTAGGTTGTAGGGGACCTGGCTCTCAATTATCGAATAAAAATCTCAAAAATCAGACAAAGATCTTAGGACTGCTTTGAAGAGCAGCGTTAATACGTCTTTTTAAAAGCTGCATCTTTTTCTGTCAATGATCTTTTAATCTGGGACATCTTTCTCTTTCCTTTTCTGTGGGTAATTACTTATTTTTGTAAGCATTATAGCAATTTTAATATTTCTTTTCCTCCCCCGAAAGCTGTCACATCTGGCTTTATTAGAAAATACCAATAAATAGACTCGGGTAAGGTCTGGTAATAGGAAACATCACATGGGAGCTGCAGCACTGGGAAATAGGAATTTGAGCAGACATGAAGCTGTGCTGATGGGCTCTCTGTTCAGCAGCAGTTCATTTCTAGGTGGTGATTCCTCGGATGATTGACTGACACAATTTTAGGTCCCATCCATCCGTTAGGCAGATTTGCAAACAGCTGAAGCGCCCATGTTCATCTTTTTGTGGCAGAGCAATGCAACGTGTGTTTGGGGGGTGGGGGGGAGAGGAAGGGGAGAGCAAGACCTGGAGGAAGGACACGTGTCCTCTTCAGATGTGTTAAAATTGGGTTTATGTGACAGCAGGTCTGGTGCCAATAACTCACAGGAGTGGAGTCACCAAGTTTTCCTTTCTGCACCGGGTGAGCAGAGGTCACACAGTGCTTGCAGGGGATTTGGGATGTTTTTGACCTTTCGTGTCAAAAATTGTTGATTAAAAATAGCATATGTTAAAATAAATTGATTGCTGGTACCATTCAAAAATAATTAGCTGAATTTATTTTTTTTTTCAAATTCAATGATATACACCTTAGAATGAGTCGAAAAATTAAATCAAAAAACTTAAGACTCATAGAAAAGACCACTAAGATCATCAAGTCCAACTGTCAATCCAACACTCCCATGACCACTAAACCAAATGCCACATCTACAAGTTTTTTGAACCCCTTTAGGGCTGGGGACTCCAGCACCTCCCTGGGCAGCCTGGGCCAAGGCCTCACCCCTCTGCCGGGAAAGAAATTATTGGAAATTACTGGAGTATTGTGTCCAGTTCTGGGCTCCCCATTTCAAGAGAGACAGAGATCTACTGGAGAGAGTCTAGCCTGGGGCTACGAGGACGACTGGGGGACTGGAACACACCTGCCGTATGAGGAGAGGCTGAGAGACCTGGGGCTTTTTAGTCTGGAGAAGAGAAGACTTAGGGGGATCTAATTAATGTGTATAAATATATGAGGGCTGGGTGTCAAGAAGAAAGGGGCAACCTGCTTTCACTTGTGCCCTGCGATAGGACAAGGGGCAATGGTCACAAACTGGAGCACAGGAAGTTCTACCTCAACATGAGGAAGAACTTCTTTACTGTACTGTTTCCAGAGCAGAGGTTGTGGAATCTCCTTCCTTGGAGACTTTTAAGACAAATCTGGATGCGTTCCTGTGTGACCTGCCCTAGACTAGATGGTCTTGCTCTGGGAGGGGGCTTGGACTCAATGATCTCTAGAGGTCCCTTCCAACCCCTAATGTTCTGTGATTCTGTGAAATTCTGCCTCACATGCAATCGAAACCTCCCCTGGAGCATCTTCAGCCCATTGCCTCTCATTCTGTTGCTGGTTCCTTGGGAGACCTACCCCCACCTCACTCCAGCCTCCTTTCAGAGAATTGTTGAGCCAGAAGGTCTCCCTGGAGCCTCCTCTTCTCCAGGCTAAACACTCCCAGGTCCCTCAGCTGCTCTTCATAAGACCTTGTTTGACATCCATTGGAGATAAGACCATTATTGTATTTTTTCAAGCATGATTTTACATATTTGTACTAAAAATTGGTTTAGTATTTCTGCAGCTGTCACAGGTTTTGAAGGCAGGTGGCTTTGCCTAGAACATGGAGGTGCCCAGCACAGTGGGACACAGGGCTCACAACCCATGTGGCAGCTGAAGGTGCAGACACACCAACCTCCTAATATTGCTTCTGAAGAAGATATTAAATTATGGCACTTTGACTGTCCTTGGCCCAATGAAACTGAGAGGGAGAAGTTTTATGGATTTCACGCAACTTTGGATGGAAATTTACGCTGCCATTTTTGATAGAACCTTTACTCAGTGAACCTCTGTCCCATTCTCTAAAGTTACTTTTAAATAAATCTTAAGGAGACACATAATCAAACAATGCTAAAATCAGGAGAGCGTTCTGCAGAATTCTTGCCTCCCCGCAGATTTATTGCTGCATTTCAATATCATTACCTCAAGCCTGTTAAAACATGATTGATTCCACCTCGGAGGAGGAACTGAGTATGCTCCTTGGCCGCGGGTGAAGCTGCGTGATGCCAGGGGTTACACAATCAGTTGACTTCCACAGTTGAGCCCAACAGTGATACTCTTTGTTTTGGTACAACAACAAAAGAAGTGTTATTGAGAATGGAACAAGGAGGATCTCATGGAAAACAGTTACGTTCAGCATGAAGTGTAAGAAAACAAACCTTCTGTGCTGGTCCCATTAAAACCCTGAGTTCGCCTCCAGTGGATTTTGCAGGAAATTCTCACGTGTGGTTTACCCATTTTCATGGACAGACTTTAAATGGTCAGACACCTCTGACATGCAGCTGGAGCCCTTTCTTCCATGTTTCAATGGCTTTGGTCGTGAGCTTGTTCAGTTTGGAAATACATGGTTAAGCTCATTCAATGGCACTAGTTTTGTAGCTGATTTGCTGACACCAGTGATAGAGTTTGTGTGTAAAAATGGCTTTAGTTTTCTCTGTTGTGACTTTTTTGCATCTTTACTTTTGGCATAGCTTCTCCTCAGCTTCTAGTGAGCTTTTTTTTGTGGTTAGTTTTGTGTTTCTGAATGTTTGTTCAGCATCTTTGAGTGACGGAGCCCTGGAGCAGGTTGCCCAGAGAGGCTGTGGAGTCTCCTTCTCTGGAGAGATTCCAAATGTGGCTGGATGTGATCCTGGGCACCCTGCTGTGGGTGACCTGCTGGAGCAGGGGGGTTGGAGGAGATGATTTCTAGAGGTCCCTTCCCACCCCCACCATGCTGTGATTCTGTGATCTTGGGGCACATCTGGTGGAGTTTGGTGCAGAGGGAACAGAAACATGAAAGTAGCACCAGGTGAGGGTACCTAATAAAGCTCCAAATCTCATCACAAATTGGTCTGCTGGAGCGAAATGAGATGTCATTTTTTCCTTTTATCTGAGATTTTTAACAGCTACCTGATGCAATTTGTGCTTTTTTTTTTTTTTAAATGACAACAACTGCAATGGAAATGCAGGAATTTATAGTTACAGGAGGAACTTTATCTGAGGCAAGAGTTGCTGAATATATATATATATGTATACATGAACATATGTGTTCATATATTTCATGTTCCACGGTGAAATATCAACAGGGAATTTGGAAATGATCCTTAACTGACCAAAAAGTGCAACAGAAATCAGGGAAGGTGAATTGGGAAGACATGGAGACTCAGAATGGGAAATAATTGGCTTCATGAGCACAAAGTGTAAACCTGGCCGTAAGCAGCATTAGCACCCAGAACTGGTACCCAGCTCAGCAGAACGGGTCAGACCAGTTGGAGGTGGACTCTAAGGAGAACTGGGTTTATTTAATATGAGGGTGCATAAGTTTTCTGCTAATACATTAGCACCAATTAGTATTTTTCTGTGTGAAAGTGCCATCAGATTGTAAGCTTGGTAATAAGGTTTCAGCAGCTAGTGGGCTGGTAAGACAAGAATAAAATTGGGTTGTGCTTTTTGAGTTAATTCTGACATTTAAGAACTTCAAGGCTGTTCTAGGAGGTGATAGGATCTTGAATACAGTCTGGAAAACATAAACAAATGATGCTGTGCTGTGCCGTGCCTCTCACTGAGCGGGCTGCATGTGAAGATGTCTTCCCCCAGCCTTTTCCTTGGGAAAGCATCTAGGGGATTGATTTTTCTTAGCTGTAAAGGGAATTTCAACCCCAGTCTCCTGTTTCTTTGCTAAATAGGCTTGAATACCAAAGCCAGAGAGGGCTTCTCTGGTGATGGTTCTTCTGAAAAAGCAGGAACGCTGCTCAGTGTTCAAAAACCTGTTATCCAACTCCGGGAGCTGGATAATATCCATCCTCTTTTCCATTCGGTGTTCTCAGTTCATAGGTGATATAGACTGACAGATCAGATCAGAGGGTGAGGGAGAGACCCTTGAGGCAGCAACTCCCCCTCCCTCACCTTGTTTACCAATTAAATTTTGCTGCTCTCTGAGTTTGGAGACGAAAACGTTTGTATTGATTTTCTGAGACTTTGCAAAGTGAAATGCAGAGACTAAGGAGGGTAATTAACATTAATAATTAAAGTTGAACTGATTTTTCAATCTCTAGTCTATTGTAATCCTTGGAGTAAAGGCCTGATCCTGCGAGCAAGAGTTCCTTCAGTTCACTGAAGGTGAACCTTGAACCATTCAAGGTGTGACCTTGAATGATCCAATTTCAATTTGGGCACAGAAATGACCAGAAGTTTCATTGCTGTTCAGAACCTTGTGTCCTCCTCAGTCAGTTAAATAAAAAGTTTGGTTCTTATAGCTGCGACAAGTGGAGACATTTTACTTGCAATCTTCCTGCCTCTGATCCTGCCACATGCTGCTCAAGCATCTTCTCTATTCCTGGTCTTGCTGGGGTCAGTCACATGCAGAAATATTTTCACTATAGGTCTCAGTCAAAATCCCTTGGAATTAAAACTTTAATGTGAAACTCATTAATTGTTCTTAACAAAAATGAAAGTCAAAAATATAAAAAAGGACAAAAATAACAGTCTTGCATTGTTGTAGTTTGCACTGTAGTAGTTTGTTAATGCTATAAGTAGATTGTTTCTATGCCAGGCCATCCTTTATCTAGTATAAAAGAAAAAATATTATTTTACTTATCTCCCATTATTAACTTTTTTTCCCCCTTCTTTTAACAGAGCATTCAGAAGCTGGCTAGCCAATACTTAAAGAAGGACTGGCTTGGAGTAAAAGCTGATGAACGAAGTGATTATAGGTAATTTAACAGCTGAATATCTGGAGATCACTGTCTTTATCATTTCCATTTGTATAATTGTTTTACTTAACAATGAAAATGCTGCTCTTCTGTAATTAATTTTTTTTCCTTTGTTGTAGAGCATTGCCAGTTAAAACGAAGCTTTGTTTTCCCCTGAAATTCTGAGATCAGTCTTAAATAGGTGTTTATTCCTTGAATAATTCAGGAAGGTGGGAAACCAAAATGTCACGACAGGGCACATGTAACTGTGCACCCTGTTTGAGTATTAATGTTTGGATCTGAATATTTATTTTGGTAAATAGCTTTAAGGTTAGCGTAATAAGTGTATGAATTTCTTCGTAGGAAAAGACAGCAACACAGTTCATTGTAGGTGACCATTCTTCATTGAGATCCCATCTGACAGTAAGGAGGAGACCGAGCCAGAAACAGTTGTTTACAAACTTAGTTTCATTAACATGAAAAGTGGATCATAACATGGAACCAGAAATTACTCAGTTGCTGAAAGCCTGCCACCTTTGAACAATACCTCCTATATGTTTTGAAGACATTTTAAGATACTTTATTTTAATGCCTTCTTTGTGTTCTGACAAGTTTTATCTCAAACAGGAAGAAATCATTGATAGATTTGTGTTTGAACTTTCAGTACCTTCACACTACTTGTGTGTCTAAGAAGCAATAAAGTGAATTATTAGTTTTAAGTGTAAATAAACTGCTCCTGTAACACACAGACCCCTCCTACCTGCAGTTTGCTCCACACTTAGGAACCTTCCATGCCAACAGATACACCTACAGTGCCCAAAGGTCTTCTCCAAATACCTGCTGGCCCCTCCCTCACTATCACCAAATGCTTGTGCTCTGCAGGCTCCAGTGATCTTCCCTTTCTGCCAGCTGCAGGGGAGATCATAGAATCCTAGAATGGTTTGGGTGGGAAGGGACCTTTCAAGGCCATCCAGTCCAACCCCCCTGCAGGGAGCAGGGACATCTGCAACTAGAGCAGGTTGCTCAGAGCCCCGGCCAACCTCCCCTGGAATGGTTCCAGGGATGGGGCAGCGACCACCTCTTGGGGCAGCCAGGGACAGGCTCTCACCACCCACCCTCACTGGAAAACATTTCTTCCTTCTCTCTGGTCTAAATCTCCCTCTTTTAGTTCAAACCATCCCCCCCTTGTCCTGTCCCAACAGGCCCTGCTCAAAAGTCCCTCCCCAGCTTTCTGACATGCCCCTTGAAGTACTGAAAGGCTGCAAGAAGATCTGTAAGCTTGGTCCTGTCACCTTCTTCCCCAGCTCTCCCTGCTCCACCTTCTCCTTCTGACTTGAGCATTTCTGGGCTCTTGTGGTGAATTATTTGGGCCCTGCAAAGCTCACTGCACAGCTCTGGTTGGTGCCTTTGGCCCGTTACACACAATGAAAGAACTATAGGGAGCTGAGGTAAAACTGTGGGGCAGTCTGGAACTGTTTGGTTGATTGCAAGATGCCCAAAATCACAAAATCTGTGATCTTATAAAAAAACTGTCAGCTTCTGCTTTGGCTGCTGAGTTCTGAAGAGTCTGTTCCATGGGAGCAACAGGTTCAACCAGAAACGCTTGCCAAAAAATTGAATCACAAAACAGGGACAGGAGGAGAAATTGGTACTTTTGGTAAAACATCAGTTAAAATTTTTGTTAAAAATGCAGGTATTTACTAGAGCAGCAGAAAGGATTGTGCCTTAGCTTTGTTTTTCAAAGCAGTCCTGGGAAGAGCATCTGTTACATAAACCCAGCCACATTTTCAGTGTAACGCCCGGGCTCCCTTCCTGCCTTCCCACAACCTTTCCGTGTTTCTTTCTTTTAGGAGCATGTACTCAGTTTGGAAATCACTTTTAGAAGGCACGATGCAAGTGGCCCAATCCCGACTCAATATCTGTGAGAACTATAAAAACTTAATTTCTGAACCAGCCAGGACTGTCCGATGCTTTAAGGAACAGCAGTTGAAGAAGGTATTGGCACTTTAATAAGTTCTTTAAACTTCTCTTGGCTTTATTTAGAAGAAAAGTGGTTATTAGAAATCATTTAGTGTGGCACTTCTAAAATAAGTACTTATTTTTCAGTCCCTTCCTATGCCTGTTGTTATAGGAGTAATTAGCTAGCTTGTTGAAGAGGGATCAAAGTTCTGAGCCGTGTTACCTGAAACTAAAATTACTTGGAAATGAGTCTTTTAAAATGTGATATGCTGTTGGTCAAAACTATCTCTGCAAATTTAATGTCGTGCTGTGGCAGTTACACTGAATTGGGTTTGAAGTGACAATTTCCAGTGAGGTTTGTTAGAATAGGTTATGACTTTTAAGAGAAGTGTATCCTAAACCTGGAGAGGTTATGCGGACTTAAAGCTGTGGAAAGCAGTTTATCCAGCCACCTCCTGTAAAAGTTTCACAAGTAAGTATTTCAAAAACTGCTGTAATTGATCTGTTAATCCATGGAAAGAAAATAGTGTACTTCAAGGAAAAAAAGTAAGCTTGACTCTCATTTAATTGGTTGTTATGTTTTAAAGTCATTTATCTCTTAAAAGGTCTCCACTATACCTCTTAATTCAGAATAATTCAGAAAATTCAGATGTGTGACATCTGTTTCCATAGGGCGTTGCTACACGTTTTAAAAATACAGTGATGTGTATTTCTGTAGAGCTAACTACTCTTTGTATTATAATTATTTGGGGTTTTATGTGTCTGTGGATTTGGCTGGAGGAGGAGGAAGGCTCCTGGTTAATGGTTGAACCTAACTCTACCAAATCCACCACTAAACCATGTCCCTCAGCACCACATCTACACAAGTTCTAAGCATGTAGAGGGATGAAGACTCTGTCACTGCCCTGGGCAGCCTGGGACAGCCCTGGACAACCCTCACGGGCAAGAAATTGTTCCTCAGGGTCAACCTCAACCTCCCCTGGGGCAACTTGAGGCCGTTTCTTCCTGTCCTGTCCCTTGTTCCTTGAGAGAAGAGCCTGACCCCCAGTGTCCTGTCAGGGAGCTGTGGAGAGCCAGAAGGTCTCCCCTGAGCCTCCTTTGCTCCAGGCTCAGCACCCCCAGCTCCCTCAGCTGCTTCTCATCTCACTTGGGCTCTAGACCCTTCCCCAGCAGCTTTGTTGCCCTTCTTTGGCCATGCTCCAGCCCCTCAAGGTCCTTCTTGGTGTGAAAGGCCCAAAACTGATCCCAGGATTCAAAGTATGACCTCCCCAGTGCCCAGTGCAGGGGGACGATCCCTGCCCTAGGCGTGCTGGCCACACTAGTGCTGACCCAAGCCAGGATGCTGGTGGCCTTCTTGGCCATCTGGGCACATGCTGCCTCATTTCCAGCTGGCTGTCAACCAAACCCCCCAGGTCCTTTCCTTCTGGGCACTTTCCAGCCACTCTTCCCCCAGCCTGGAGCATTGGGTGGGGTTGTTGTGACCCCAGTACAGTATCCGGCACTTGGCCTTGTTGAACCTCATCCCATGTGGCCTCAGCCTGGGCAGAATTTACAAAAAATTACTGCTGCACCAAATGTATATTTTTTTGGAAGTGTTCAGGAGTGATCTTCTGAATTTCTCATTGTGTGGCTTGGACAAAACATAACATGAGAAGATAACCAGAAATGCTGGTGGGACACCCTTCTCTGGCATTCGTTGAGAGCTGTAAATATTCCTTCCATACTTGGTTATCGAGCATTTATTAACATCACCTCTGAGTTCAGTTTGTAGTAGGATGAATGATTCATTCAAGGCAGAAGACTAAAAAAATCCTAAACAACACAACATTTCAGGCCTGGTTGCCAAAAAGTGGTGCAAACTGACTGTAACTTACCCAATGATATCTTCTGGAGTAGCCTTTAGTGAAATGTTTGGCTACAAAACTTTTTAAAAGATCTTGGTGTAACATGCACCCTCATTTTCGGAACAAATGATTACACAGCTCTTAGATGCACAACATCTGTTTGTCTGGAAGAAGAATTAACTTTATTAATGTTGGTTTATTGTCCTGTAGAATTGTATTTTTCTGCGAAGCTTTCCAAAAGATGCAATTTTATAGTATCCTTACCTGGTAAATAATCTCCAATTTTATTCTGCTGTTAGTTCTGATAGTTCAGTACTTTACAAACCAGCAGGACAAGTGGGGACCAGTTCTTTAAATTTACATAAATGGCAGAGGTTCTTTTTTTTCCTGCACTTTTGAATCAAGAAGTTACTACAATGATCATGGTGGTACTTCTGGTTCAAAGTACAGAATCATCTAGGCTGGAAAAGCCCTTTAAGACCAAGTCCATTCTAACAGTGATGGGCTGTTTCTACAACAAGGACTAACCATCCACTCACTGGTATATCAGTTTTCCTCCAGTACAAATTTATAATTTTACACGGTACAGTCTCTCACCCTTAACTGTGGATTTCCAAACAGATAACTAATGTATTACACTGACCTCCTTCCAGACAAAAGCTTATCAGCATTGAAATTCAAGGTCAGTAAAATACTTCTGAAGTTACACCAGCATGGCCATCTAAAACCCTTCCCAGATTGCGGGGGGGTATTGAGTTGCTCTTGATGAGACATCATCTTTTATTTTCCAGATGTTTCTGTAAAAGCTTTATTTCTTCGACTTGGTAGCATATAGAAACTTCATTTTTATGACCTGTTTGAATACCAAACTGGAACAATTTCAGCAAGCCTCATCATAATTTGCTGAAAAATGTTGCTAAATCACAAGGTGACTCTGGAGCAGGGGTAATAAACGTGTCGTCTGTAGACCACATCTGACCTCTTAAGAAAACTGATCCCCTGCCCTCATTCAGCAGCTCTTGGACACAGACAAAAAGGCAGCAGCCCACCCCCTGCCATTATCTTTCCCCAGAGACCTTGGAAGCTTAGCCCATAAATGATGTGGGGTTTCCTAAATTGACCTTGGAAGAGGAGGCAGGGAGCTGCAGTGAACGTTCATCAGGTATCTTCAGGAAAGATGCTGTGGCCACCACTGCAGAGGTGTGCACGGATCTATATCAGAAGGCTGAAAGGCAAAGAGAATAGTTGTTCTTCATGGAGGCAATGCAAGAAAAAACTGTCCTGGGCAGCTCTCTGAAACAGCTTTTCACATACAACCAGTGTCAGCCCAACCCAAAACCTCAAAATGGTGTCCAACCTCCTGACAAATTTTTATTCTTCAGAGATGCAAGAGCAAGGTTATCGTGTGCTTTTATAATGCTTGTGTTAACAACTGGGGTTATTTGATATTTTCATTTTTTGATGCTGGCAGGAGACTTCAGGAATCAAAATACCAATTGATGTAGCAAAACCCCCGTCCCTTTGGAATGATTGTAGGTCTCTGTCAGCAGTCCAATATATACAGATTTTTCTGCCTTTCATTTCTCTATCATACACTCAGAAGTCTTCAGAAAACCTAATCCTGCCTTGTACCACTCCTCAAACCACCCACCACGAACCTTGCCTTACAGAGCCCATTGCTTTATTCCTCTGCACACATCAAATACTGGGTTTAGTGTGAACTCACATGAATTTTTGTGTACTTGAGAGCCAGAAAGGAATTTAACCTTTTGAGTGAGAGCAGAATTGCATGATGGGAAGACAAGCAATTTCTATTGACTGAAACAAAACGTTTCTTTTTTACAGGTGACATCTACTTTATTGATATGAATTTTTTAATGGATCATATTTTTAATGCTTGAATAATGTGAAATTAATGATAGGTTGTTAGATTACATCACCTTGTTAGTGTGGCAGTGCATGTAAAAGGTTACATGCATTAATATTCGGTGTAATGAAAAAAAATGAGGTGTTTAGGAGGAGTGTTCAGTAAGAGGACACCATGTGGCATCTTGAATGGGAAATGTCTTAGCACAGGAAAGACAGGAACCCACTGGAATGGGGCCAGAAGAGGCCCAAAGATGATGCAAGGGCTGGAACCCCTCTGCTGGGAGCCCAGCAGGAGAGAGTTGGGCTCTGCAGCCTGCAGAGGAGAAGGCTCCAGCTGGGGAGACCTTCTGGGGGCCTGACAGGACTGCCAGGGGCTTGTCAGAAAGATGGGGAGGGACTTCTGAGCAGGGCCTGTTGGGACAGGATAAGGAGGGGTGGTTTGAAATGAAACAAAAGGGAGATTTAGACTAGAGAGAAGAAAGAAATGTTTTCCAGTGAGGGTGCTGAGCCCCTGGCCCAGGTTGCCCCGAGAGGTGGTCTCTGCCCCATCCCTGGAATCATTCCAGGGGAGGTTGGCCAGGGCTCTGAGCAACCTGCTCTAGTTGCAGATGTCCCTGCTCCCTGCAGGGGGGTGGACTGAATGACCTTGAAAGGTCCCTTTCAACCCAAACCAGTCAGTGATTCTGTGTTGAGTATGTGACAACGATGTGAAAAGAGGTGGGGTCCTGGGTCTAGTCTTCGAAGGACAGAAAGCAAATTGAAAAGCAAATTGGTTCCCTTAAGCTAGCTTGAGGCTCTGCCTCTAGGTATTGCCTGGAGCCTCCATTGACCACGTTTGGTCTGTAATATCTCTAATTAAATGTAAATTCATTGAACTATCACTCCTACGTGTACTTAAGCTAGTTTGAGTAAAAGAAAATCTGTGCAAATCTCCTTGAACGATAGTCTAATTCTAGACACGGATAATTCACATTTGGTTTGCTAAGTAGATCCATTTTGCTTAATATAGATACTTTCCCCACAATTTTTTTTTTTTTTATGTTTTGGAGAACTCTTGAACAGTTTGGTAATTATGGTGGGTTAGCCACAGTCAGCACATGGCCACTCGCTCACTCCCCTCAGGCAAGATTGAGGAGAGGATCGGAAGGGTAGAAGTGCAAAAACTTGAGGGCAGAGCTACAGACAGTTTATTAGGTAGAGCAAAATAAGGAATTGTAACTCTCAGTGTCCACCCTTCCTCCATCTTCTCTCACCTTTTATTGCTGACCACAAGGTTGTACGGTCTGGGCTACCCCTTTGGTCAGCTGGGGTGAGCTGGCCCCGCTGTGTCCCCTGCCAGCCTCTTAGAATCAGAATTGTGTGTGTTGGAAGAGACCTTTAAGATCACTGAGTCAAACCGTTCCCCATCACTGCCAGGTCCCCACTGACCCATGTCCCTCAGCACCCCATCTCCACGGCTTGGAAACCCCTCCAGGGATGGGGACTCCACCACTGCCCTGGGCAGCCTGGCACAGGCCTCCACAGCCCTCACGGGCAAGAAATTGTTCCTGAGGGCCAACCTCAACCTCCCCTGGGGCAACTTGAGGCCATTTCCTCTTCTTCTGTCTCTTGTCCCCTGGGAGAAGAGCCCATTCCCCACTTGGCTCCATCCTCCTGTCAGGGAGCTGTGGAGAGCCAGAAGGTCTCCGCTGAGCCTCCTTTGCTCCAGGCTCAGCACCCCCAGCTCCCTCAGCTGCTCCTCACCACACTTGGGCTCTAGACCCTTCCCCAGCAGCT